CTTATACACCATCCTCCCAGCATCCAGGCTGTGTTCCAGTCTGGTGATATCACACGGTCATCCCTCATTGGCTGGGCACACTCACTGTCTTCAGTCAAGGTAGTCATTAATATTGGACTGCTCTATGCTTGTTGGCACTTGGAATTCCAAGCGAGTTTATACCACCCATGGACCACAAACATGCTCAGCATCTTCTTTCCCCTGCATCATTAATGTTGCTGATGGGCCTGGTTACCTGTGCCTGTCCCATCAGAAAAGACTCTAAGCAGCATGCTGACTTCTTTAGTGCTTGCTCTTGTAGTTCCTCATGCTCTGCGCTCCTCTAATCATCATGTAAAGGGTGTGTCGTCATTCAAAGCAGGGCCCTTTCAGCCAGGTGCACATTTGGTTTGATAATCTATTTACTCACTTACACAGTCATAGTTTAAGTTTTAAGTTTATATAGTCATAGTTTAAATTTTTTGTTTAAGCACAAACTTCTATTGGACTTAAGTATGTATTTGTTATCTTGCTAAGTTGTATGATGCCTGCACAGTTAACTAAAAGTAAGATTGAAACTTTCCTCAGAGTGGCCATAACATGCCTCACTCCTGTCCTGCTCATGTTAGGAATTGTGTGCTTGTAGATGTTTTCTGAGTTGATTTCTGCTAGCAACAGAGCTGAGCTGGAGTCATGATCTAAGGCAGCAGGAACTAGAAGAAGCTGCATGTGTCAGTAACTAATCTAACCAGGAAAGGCAAAGGCTATCAAAATGGAGCAAAAAGAGAGAGGAAACGTGAGGAGCTTTCTTTTCTTTCTTTTCTCTATGAAAAATAGAATCTGAAAATAGGGGCTTATTATTTCCTCCTTACCTTACAATTCTTTAAAAAAGATTTATTTATTGATTGATTGATTGAGTGAGTGTGTGTGTGTGTGTGTGTGTGTGTGTGTGTGTGTGTGTGTTTCCTGCATGTGTCTTTGTGCTCTTCAAGCATGCAGTAGCCTAGAAGGCCAGGAAAGGTATTGGATACTCTGGAACAGGAGTTACAGATGGTTGTAAGCTGCCACATGGGTGCTGAGAATAGAATGCTGGTCCTCTGGAAGAGCAGCCAGTGCTCTTAATTGCTGATCCATCTCTCCATCCCTCCTCCCCCAACCCTCCCCGACCAGTGACATAGAATTTAAAATAGAGCAGAGATATTTATTTAGAGGCTGCTATAGAGACTCAATGATCAATTATGTCTAATTGATAGACTAATATTTAGCAGACATGCAAATAGAACTCTGTCATGTGTAGAGAGGGATGCATAGATGTAGCATCATGGGATTCACTGATCTCCCTTTGTATTCACTCTGGATGCTCACTCAGACCTGGTTTGCTAAAGTTTCAGGTTGAGTGACAAAATGACCTTGTTCCATTAGTTGGCCCTACATCCACACACATTTTTAACTCACTGCTGGCATGGTTTGGCCTCAGTAGGTTAAAAATGCCTGGGGATAGGTTCCAGGTGGAGTTGGAGGGGAGAGAGTGGGTGTGGATGTGAACAAAACACATCATATACATGTATGAAATTCTCAAAGAATTAATAAAAAAATTTAAGACATGAATTAAATTGAACGGAGAGTTAAAATAATCCCAAGTTGATTTGTTCTAAATGCTTGCATTGAATGTAGAAGAATTATTATCTGGAGTACAAGATTTTAGTAAGTATAAAATGAGCATGAAATCATGTGCCATTCTGGCTGGCGGAAGTCAGCACTGGGATAGACCTGAGCAAATTCAAGATAGGTAATGTGAACTAAAGGAGAGGAAGAAAATAAGATAGATAGGAGGAGTGTGGGTATTCAGCTTTCAGGTCTACTGCAAAGAATGATTTTTCTTTGAAGCATCTGCTTGATTTTAGAACACACTCCTTTTTTCTTTATAAACACCTCCAAATCGCTTGAGGGTTTACACGGACCTTCTTCATTCAATATCAGACTGTGTTGCATCAGCATTTTCAAACTGTGACTTCCACACCCTGTTTTTTATTTGATCACCCTCCCCATTGACCAGAATTGAGAGGTTTGCCTGCAGCCTAAACCATTTTCACCAACTACAAATGAGCCCCAGCACAAACTTTAATTTTGAGCTAGCAATCATAATTGGTTTCTTTTTCTATCTGATAGTTACAATTAGTTGTAAAGGATGTTATTCAGAGGTGTAAATGCTTTTTGCATTAGGAATATTGTTGACAATCCCTTCCCTTTTATCTTTCTACCAGAAACACCAAAATACATACAATATACAAGTTATTTTATATATACATGCATAATATATTTTTCATATTTTTTAACTTTATAAATGGCTTTTTGATGACTTAAGAGACTTTTAAAAAAAGATAGCATACTAATATAATGCAGGAGAAAACTACTATAATCAGGAATTAATAAACCTAGTTCCAGTAATTACTGAGCAAAAATGATAGAAACTCATGGATACCAAGCCAGGCCTGTGTATTTTTTTTTTTTTTTGTCATTATTCCATTACTTGTTGGAATCATCTTACTATTCCCAAGAAATCAAGATACCACAATGTGAAAACCCATGGTTAGGGTTATGGGAGTGGGGACCATACATCCATGCTTCCTACAAGGAGCCTGTAGACAAGGGGACATTGACACTGATGATGACGTCTGGAAAGTGTGTTGCTCTGCTTTAGACCTGGCTTGGGTTAACCTTCCTCAGCCCAGTGATGCCATTCCGGGGATCTCTTTCACGGCTGAAGAATTGAGGTTCAATAAATGAACAAATAGTCCAAGTTCATTCAAGTCACACAGATACTGTACATAAGAAGGGTTATACTGCAGTGGACCCATGCTATTCTGTTGAAAACAAAGTGTCTGTATCTATCTCAGTAAAGACCTCATCTCTGAGGGCAAGCCAAATGCAAGGAGAAAGAATCATCCTAGCTTTCCATTAACAGATGACTAGTTAATGAAAATATGGTATATATAAACAGCAAACTTTATTCAGCAATGAAGAAAGATAAAATTACAAAATTTTCAGGAAAATGGATGGAATTGGAAAATATTATATTAAGTGATGTAACGCAGAGTAAGAAAGATAAATACCATGTTTGGTTTCACATGTGAATCCCAGATCCTATGTTTTTGTTTCAGTTTTTAAACACTTATTTTAAGTTTTATTTATTTATATGTGTATCTCTGTGTGGGTATGTACATGTAAGTAAGGTACCCACAGAGGCTCAATGACAGTTTCAGATCTAGAGCTGGAGCTTAGGCAATTATGAGCTGCCCCATGAACGGGTAACTGCTCAGATCCTCTGGAAGAGCAGCAAGCACCCTTAACCATGAGTCATTTCTTCAGCCCCCTCCAGGGTCTAACTTTAATACACATATATTTATGCTGGGATGAGTGTCTGTAGAGGTCATGAAATTAAATGGGACCCATAAGTGGGTGAAAAAAGAGGTCTTCAGAAAGGGGGACAGGGAGAGTAAGAGAATATATGTGACATGAAATTGGAAAGGAGATTCCTTGGAGCAGAAGGGAACAGTGGATAGAGCATGGTGAGAAAGACATATTTTCCCCATGCTCTAGGAGTCAAAAGTTGATCCATAATGGACTTGTGAACTGAAGCTTTTTATTACCAAAAACAGTGTATTCTCAGCATCACCCTGTGGATTTTACTTCATGCTCTTCTCGCTGATCCTGGCATGTGGAATGAGGTTCTGGAGATGTTGTAGTAGAAGGGATTTTATCATGTCTCCTCCAAGAAGAGATTGTATTTTTTTATATTTCTGATTAATAACTGCAGTTCTGCAGTGTGAGACTTATACTGCAAGGGACTGAACTGCCCCCATCTAAGGTTTTATTTTCTCTTCCGATGATGAAGAATAGATGTTAGGAAAAGGTATATTAAATGCAAATTCTCAATGATTTGATGGGCAATTTCAATTAGAAACAGTCAATTTATACAGGTGAAGAGCTGAGAACTGAGGACTAATATCAGCCGTGGTAACCGACCCTGCCATATTACCTTCTCTGCGTCAGATGTTCAGTTCTCTCACAAATTCTACAGGTACAGGAAATCAAAGCAATGGTGTGCTGAGAAGAAACTTTCTGGGTAGTAGTCAGCATCCATTCCCAATGATCTGTTCATATGTTCATATATATTTATATATGTTCATGTATATATTCATACATATAAAGCTGATTTTATATATGTGTGCTTTATGTCAACTTTATATATGTCAGCTTTAAAAATAACTGCAGCAGAATCACAACCAAGAGCTGAGAACCCAGTGGTCATTTGGCCTTGAGGCTTGGGTACCTGGACACTCAGAGCAATTCTGCAATGACTGTCTCTCACTAGGGGAGGAGGGTTGACAACCATTAACTGCTCAGTCACCCCAAGACTGGTACCTCAATAGTCTCAATATGGTGCTAGAAGCCTGAAAGTTTCCTGGAGCTGCTGCCTCCTAGTCCACAACCAAAGCTAATCAAAACTCAGAAATGCTAGTTCAGATACCAGAGGAGGAATCAGCATCATCATTAGGGCAAATTAACTCAGAGCAAGACTGAAGACCAAGTGAGCACAAGGAGAGATGATCTACCTGGATGCCATTTGTGTCTGGGCTGCTACCAAAAGGTGCTGCCCACAATCTGGGTGGGTCTTCAATCCAGGTAGTCGGGACACTTCTTCAGTTGAAGCTCCCTACTCAAGACCTTCTAGTTTATGACAAGTTAACATTAAAACCAACCATGACATGCCACACACAAGTATATTGTAGTAACATACCGGAAGTTACAAGTGTCCAAAGAAAAGCATTCCCACACAGCAACCTTGAAGATATAATTTAATTGATGTCGACGTGCAAGGGAACTTGACTGACATTGCTCATTTTCTGTTATTGAACCTGGGAAGGAAGAGTTAACCAAAAAGAATGCTGAAAAACAGAATCATAAGAACTAGAATACAGAGAGAATGCTGGGATATCAGAAATCTAGAACTTTCTCAGGTGTTGCTATCCTAAAGAAAAGTAGCAGAGGTATACCCAGCCTGGCAGCTGCTGTGCCTCAGAGCAGTTCCCATGAGGGAAAGAAAGACAAACAGATCCCCTGTCAGTGGGATCATGGCTGAGGTTGGTACTTCACACTGTAGATAGTGTAGTCAACTTGCCATCAGGACTGGGGGTGGATGAGACAGTTGGGTAGTTCTAGTTTACAATCAAATATTAATAACTGAGGACTAAATATATGACTTTTTTTATTTCTTATTCCTGATAGTTTTAAATACTTGATTTCAAAGTGATTTTTTAAGTACCATAGATGTTTGTGTTACATGAAATATTTTCTTCATTTAGTATAGTGAATGACATGGGGTCACATTCACAGCAGATGCTCACTTTATTTACTGCTGGTTGTCTGTTGCTTCATTGTGAACTTCCTTGTTAAGCATTTGAGTTTGAATTTCCTGGAATGGATATTAATTAAAGTATGAGATAAGGAAAGAAGATAGAGAGGAAAGGACAGAATCCTAAATCACTGGCAAAGTTAGACAGAAATGAGTAGGTAATAAAGCAGTGAGCATCCTTGTACATTATTGGTTAAAAACAGAAGTGCAAGGCCCCTTACTGCTCCTTACAGGCCTGGCTCATAGCAGTGTCTCTAGCTAGTAGCCTTGAAGGATGAAGTGCCTTCTCTTCCAATCCCTTTTGCAAAGTTCAGGTCCTCTGGGAAACCAGCAAATTTTTAAAAACTGAGTATTCCTTGGCTATGATGCTAACTTGCTATGTGAATGGCATAGGGACCAACAGTACCACCCCCATGGTTCTTGGGAAGGACAGGAAATCAATACAACCATGCTGATTCTCTGGCTATGCTGCACCAAGACTCATAAAATCCTTTTCTCCCTGACTCAACAGTCTTCCATCCTTTCAACATATCTCCCCAGGATAACAGCTTATTGAAAGGAGGGTAACAGCTCAGATCTGCCCTAGCACCCAACAGGCTTCATTTAAGGAGAGACACCCCAGCACCCCCTTAAGGTCAAGTGTGACACTGACTGAGAAGAGTGAGATGATCCCTGGTAAACCTGACAAAGAACAGCCCCCTGGGATTGCAGAGGATGAAGCTTGAGGGCAGTAGGTGTAGTTGCTACAGTGGACAGAGCAAGTAAAGTATTTCAAAAGCTTTCTCATTAATGGGGTGCACAGGATGATTGGTAAAAAGAAAGGGGTTCACCAGAAAATCCTATTTAAAGATTTTTTTATTATATTTATGTGCGTGCGTGCGTGCGTGCATGTGTATGTGTGTGTGTGAAACACCAGGGGACGCCATTGAGAGAGTGTGTGGGGAAAGGCTTGCAGCAAGGCAGCTCAGGAGACTCCGAGGGTCTGCCACTGAGAAGAAGAGCCCCTTCCTTGAATTTCACAAACTTATCACAGTCAGCTCTACCCTAGAATTAGCACCAGGTGATGTTGCATGAGTGTACAGGACACACTGCCAGTCCCCAGGATTCCAGAAGCTTTTCAGAGAAATGTGACAGTTCACTAAGCTGGAACATGGGAAGGAGGAGGAATATGCCACCAAAATAGGACATAGAGGGGAAGTGGGATGGAGCAATGAATGCTTCCTGTGTTCAGGAGGCTCCTGGGGCTCTGGTTTGATGTGCATGATTCAGAGGGGCACAGAACGATGACCTTAGTGTCTTTCCACAAAGGAAAACCCTGCGGAATAACCAGAAAACTGTCGGGGACAGTTGACTTTCTCTGATAACTAGACAACTGAAGAAGAGCCATTCATTTTCTCTCTCCCTCTCTCCCTGCCTCCCTCTTTTCTGACCTCCCTCCTCCTCTCTCCCTTTCCCTTCCTCTCTTCGTTCCCCTCCCTCCCTCTTTCTCTCTTTTTGCTCATTTCTTGCATAGAACAGGGTTTTCAATAGAATGTAGCTCGTCACATTGAAATACGCCCATGTTGAGATGTATCTGTGGACTGCTAGCCCAGTGCCCGTGCTTATCTCACCCCATCATTAGCCACAGGTTACATCCTTTATGCCCCGGCAGCACCCTCCGTCCTCACCTTTGGCACGCAGTAATTCAGTTTGTATAAAATGGTAATTTGTGCCTCTTTGAGGGTTATCTCTTCTTAAAACGTGATCCAATTACCCTCTGTCATGCCGCTTGGATCCACAGGTGCAAAGCCATGCCAGCACGCCAGAAAAACTAAGATCAGAGTCCCCCAGGGCCAGGTGTGAGGGGCAGTGGCGCCCGAGACCAGGGCTGTAATTACTGCGCCATTGCTTCCTCGCACCTAGCTTTGACAGTGACAAATCACACTCATTCCTGTCTTCGTGTAAAGGGGGAATTATTTCTCAGGTAGTGGGACTGTTTGGAGCAAAAGGAACATTTATTCATCCATAGTAAACTCTCATTAGAGTGTAAATTTGTCAGTATAGTTAATCTCTACAAAAATTGCCTTTTTTTTAAAGCATGCATGTAAGTAATAGACTGAGGGATGATGCTTCAGCGACCATGAACGGGTTTGTTTCTTGTGTCTTGGTCTGTGGGTTAAACAACTCCTCATTTTCTCATTACGTGTTCTGCTCCATAGTGCTAAGCACACGCAGGACTGTCTGCCTTCCTGTAATTTGGACGCTCAGCTCTGTAGATATGGTGTTAAATGTGTAAGTCACAGGCTCTGCTGAGATTCCACTACTGTCTCTTTCTTCTGGTACTATGACGCAGCCTAGAAGGGTGTTCTGTTTTTTGCTCCAGCGTGATTGTAAAAAGGACTAGGCTGGCCTGGCACGGTGGTACATACTTTTAACCCCAATACTCAGAATCAAAGACAGGCAGAGCTCAGTGATTTGGAGGCCAGTCTGGTCAACACAGGTGAGGCCAGGGCTACTAAGTGAAAGTCTGCCAATAAATAAAAATTTAAAAATTAAAAAAAAAAAAAGGCTTGCCCTAAGTGTGACAGCTAGTTTTTTTTTCTTCTTTCTTTCTTTCTTTCTTTCTTTCTTTCTTTCTTTCTTTCTTTCTTTCTTTCTTTCTTTCTTTTTTTTTTTTTT